TTATTCCATTGATAGGAGTCCCATGGCAAGTTCCTGCTTGACGCTTTCCCTCTGCTTAAAGTGCTGTGGAGTTTAGTGCCCCGGGGAGTGGCTTTCACTTGATGTTGAATGAGAATTAGAGGATGCAGACCCTGTCCTTGCTGTCCAGAGAAATGACACAACTGAATCTTTGAGAATTAACTCCTGAGTGGGATAATGGTGCCCATGCCATCTGTTAGAGATTCCCGGCAGAAATAAGCATAGTGGCCCTCAGTGGCAGTCTGTGTATACGTGTGCCCTGCATAGGCTTCCTTCTCTTGTTTCACGTCTCCACTCCCCTGATCAGTACATCTTGAAATCATCAGTTACACACACATTTGTAGAGTTCAGTTCTGGGGGAACCCGCCTAAATCAAAATGCTTTCCTTTGTTCTTCTCTTTCGTATGTTGAAAGGCTACAACTGCTCCCAGTAGTACCTAGCTCACTCCAGGAGTAATTTTTAAGTAAGTATTGGGAAGGATTGGATGGTGGACATTTGTTTAAAATGTGTTCTCACCAGGGGCATCTGGGTTGCTTGGTCAGTTAAATATCCAGCTCTTGATTTCTGCTCAGGTCATGATCTCAGGGTTGTGAGACTGAGCCCCACGTTGGGCCCCGTACTCAGCACAGAGTCTGCTTAAGATTTTCTCCTTCTGCACCCCCCCACTTGTGCTCATGCGTTTACACTCTCTCTTTCAAATAAATAAATAAAAATGGAGATGTTATTTGGGTTGTTTATAATCTAGTAAAGTTAGTACAGCTTTTATAGGGCTGGAAATTTCAGTTTTGTGAAAGTCTTATCTAGACTCCTAAGAGATGTGTAAACCAAAGCACTCGTTGTAAACCAATAACTTTGAAATAACTGTTTTTGCAATTTCTCTGGCTTTTCTTATTTTAGGCTGAGAAGTATATGTGGGGAAACATTATCAGAAGTATTTTTGGGAGCACAGGTCTAAGCAAGGAAAATGAATTGAATTTTAATGGTTAATGGTATTGAGCTATGGCTACATCTGCTGTAAAGATCAGCTGTTCAAGTCCTAAAGTCAGGATATCTCTCCCCTGAGCTCCCAAATTCTTGTTATTTGCATTTTTTGGACATTACGAGATTTGTGGTCTGGGAAACATCATTTCTTTTTATAAGAATTTTTTTTAAAAGATTTATTTATTTATTTATTTATTTGACAGAGATCACAAGTAGGCAGAGAGGCAGGCAGAGAGAGAGGGGGGAAGCAGGCTCCCCATTGAGCAGAGAGCCCCATGAGGGGCTCGATCCCAGGACCCCAGGACCATGACCTGAGCCAAAGGCAGAGGCTTTAACCCATTGAGCCACCCAGGTGCCCCTGGGAAACATCATTTCTTACTCATTTTAGCTCTTGAATTCTGGACCTTCCTCATTATTCCCCCACCCCCACTTAAGCTTTTGAAATTTTCTAGGACTTAAATAACTTCTATACCTTCATTAGTGGCAGAAACATTTTTTCCTGTCTCCTCTTTGCAAACTGCAGCAGTGGATTATGCTACTGGTGTTCAGTATTCCTTTGTTCCCTGTCCCTTTAAAGCAGATTCATTTGCATTTTAAGGGTTTAAGCTGCTCCTTGAATTCTTGAGATCTCTTGTTTTTGGTCTAATGCTGTTTGCTGGATCATATCCCTCCTCTGCCTATATCCATAAGTTGCATTTAATTGCTTATAACAGAAAACTTAATCTACAGGACTTCAAACAAGGGAAATGGGATTATATTTTGTATATATAATAAGAAGTTCTGAGGCAGTTAGCTTCAGAGTTTTTTTAATTTTTTCTGCTCTGCTATCTCTAGTTTGTCTTGTAGGCTGCTTACTTCATGGTCAGAAGTTGGCTGCTGTAGTTCTAACAGTGGAAGAGGGAACTGTTTCCTCCTTGGCTTCTCCTTTATTGGCTGGCTACCTTTCTCAGAAGCCCCTAGACTTCTCATTGGCTAGAATTTTGGCACATGCCCCTTCCTAACTTCTTAAATGACTCGATTGACTTAAATTTCAAGGTCGTCTTTCTTGGGCTGCAGATTGTATAACCTTCCCTGGGAATGTGTGAAGGGGAACGTAAATCCCCAAATAAAAGTCATCTAAAACCTTCAGTTGTACAGATAAATCCTAGTGACCTTCTCTAGAAACAAGAATATCCACCCTGTTTTTTATTATTATCTGTTATCTGTTATTATCTGTTATCATCAGCCTGGACTTAACCTTTTGAGTTCTCATTTTTCTGTGCTTTACCTTAGGGTTTTTAATATGTTTCTTTAGCATATTTTCTTTTATTCTCCCCCTTAAAAAAAAAATTATTTATTTACTTGAGAGAGCTAGCACAGAAGGGGAGGGAGAAGCAGATCCCTGCTGAGCAGGGAGCTTGATGTGGGGCTCAATCCCAGGACCTTGGGCCAAAGGCAGACACTTAACTGACTGAGCCACCCAGGTGCCCCTTGAGCATATTTTCTTGAAGCAAATGCCATTTATGCTTCTCTGTCAATAATAAACATTACCATAAAACTCATTCTGCTTATCTTTTTGCTCTTTTCCTCTCAGATTCTCTAGTTTTCAGTATGGTTGTGCCTGTCAACAAGGAGGGCTTCCTAAGTTCTGCAGCATTCAGTTTTGATAGTTTGTTGCCTTTGGGGTGTTTCTGGGGAATGAATCAGGTTTTACAAGCTTGGCGCCTTGGCATCGTGGGCTGCCTCAGGTCATAAATTTGTGTCCAAAGATATGAAGAGCTCATCGGGGCTCTTCAGAGAAGCTTGCTGCTAACTGTTCTGCCTGTTTTGTGTATTTAACTGGTGGCTTTTCCACAATATAGACTCAAGTAAATCAAATTATTTTCTAATATTTTTAAAGCAGGCAGTGGAAACTTTTTACAAATAAATTTTTACAGAGGTTAAAGTAGTTAAAACATGGAGCTCATTAGACGGGGGTGGCTCTAGTGCCTTTGGCAAGCAAACCAAAACCTAAACCAGAGACCATATACTGAAAGCTAAGAAAACCAAATGCAAGAAGAGGAAATTTGGATACGTGGAGAGGCACACTGCAGTGTGTGCCCAGAGGGAAGACCATGTAAGGACACAGGAAGAAGATGGCCATTCGCATAGCAAAGAAACAAGCCTCAGAAGAAACCAAACCGGAAGATACTTTGAGAACTGTGAGAAAATGAATTTCTATCATTCAAGCAACGTAATCTGTTCATTCACAAACACCAAATCTGTCAGGTTCTTTTTTTTGTTTTTTCTGATAGATGCCACAGTAATTTGTCCCTTATTTGTGTGTATGTGTGAGTTTTAATTTGTTAGGTGGTAAAGTCCAGCTAATATTAGGAAAAGTAATTTCTGCTGAGTGTAATTTGACCATAAATACTGATGTTGGAATATTCTGGCGCTTGAGTGTTAGTGTGTGAACATCTAGAGAAACTCTTGCGCATAACGCACGCATGTATCACCGGTAAGGATGTATACCTCATACCTGTTTGTGTTAGTGTAAAATGGCTATCTTTGTAGTACTGGATGTATGTGCAAGGCCCTTATTCTGACACCTTCATATGGAAAGTAAACAGCAAATATGACAATGCAGATTGATAAAATGAACAAAAAAATACTTTTCAAAGATATTTTTACTGTACCAAAGTAAACCATTAATACACCTTCATACATCAAAATCTACTTTGAAAAGTTACCATTTCAGAAGAGAGAAAAATGAAAATGACAATGGTTATCTTCAGGTTTTAGTTTAATAGAGAATTTATAATAAAATGAGGAATTTTCTGGATGTTTATGTGTGTGTGTATATATATATATACATATATGTGTGTGTGTGTATATATAGACACACACACTGGTGAATATATGAAAAACCTAAAAATGTAGAAATATTAGTATTAGAGTAAGTAGTTGTGTCACTACTGCATTTTCATTGTAAAATTTTTTATGTTTTAAATAGACAAAGGAAAAAAATACAAGTGAAGATTACTCAGTATCGTGGATCTATCCTAATTCATTTGATCATTCTCTCTCTCTTTTTTTCTTTTAAAGATTTTATTTATTTGACAGACAGAGATCATAAGCAGGCAGAGCAGCAGGCAGAGAGAGAGGAGGAAGCAGGCTCCCCGTGGAGCAGAGAGTCCGATGTGGGGCTTGATCCCAGGACTCTGGGATCATGACCTGAGCCGAAGGCAGAGGCTTAACCCACTGAGCCACCCAGGCACCCCACATTTGATCATTCTCTTATTGGTAGATACTAAGTTTCTAGTTCCTATTAAAGCCCTCAGAGCTTTGGAGAAAAGTTCACTTTTATGAACTCACATCAGGAAATACACTATCCTTTTCATTTTCTACATGATAAACTAATTTCAAGTTTGCTTTCCCATCTTGCTAGCGGGGAAGGGTGTGCTGATATGTCCCTGGTAGACCTATTTTCGCTTGGGTTTGTTTACGGTTCATGGATGTTCCCGATTGGTGGACGTGGTGATTACAGAGAGGAGGTCATGTTTGTCAGAAAAATATTTGGTTCAGAAGGATTCCGCAGGCCTGTCTGATGGCTAATGCCTATGGTGCTTCCAGATGCCAGATGCAGCTTAGTCAGTGAAGGGAGTACGGAAAATAACCACTGCCCACAAAGAAGTTAAGACTTCCATTTGGGTTTCCAGTAGTTTTCTCCTTCCTCTTGCATTAATCCTGTACCAAACAGGATGACTTCATTGTTTACTGTTCTTTAAGTTGCACTGATTGTCCATCAAAAGAAGAGAGGCCTGGACCAGGTTCTGAGAATGACTTCTTCCTTCTGAAACTCAGGCCCTGGTGAGCTTTGTAGTGTATGGAACATAGCCTGAAAATCATCTTCACTGAAGCACAGTTGGGGTCCTGGAGGGTTCTCTTTCTGTGGATTGGGACTCAGAAAAGGTAACCTTTTCCTCAACATCTGTGGGTAACAGGAGCTGACATAAGGCTTGAGGTTTCTACACATTGCTGGTGCAGTTGGCTGAGGGAGTGGGCTAGTTCTTCAGCTGACTGCTGTAGCCGTGTGTATCTCAGTATGTACCTTCTTGAGGATCCCATTTTGCTATCAGAGCCTGGCAGACCTCATCCCACCTTTGCAGAACGTGAGTTATGTCCACCTGTGGCAGATCCTGCGACTGGTGTTGATGCTCAGGCCGAGGCTCAGAATAGTCCTTCAACTGCAATACTCCTGTGCCAGTCTGTTCTATGTGATTCTGGCATTTTCTTGGTTTGGGAACCAGAAAAGGGTCTGAGTGTCTGAGAGGTCCCCTCCTGAAGTTGAGGGTATTGGTAGGTAGTTCCTAAGGGTCAGAGTAGAGAGAGAATCTCTCCCTGCGTATCCTGTGTAGGCTGCACCATCATGACACTTGGTCCTTGGCTCACACAAGGGACAGGAGCAGGTAGAAATGTTTGGTTCCTGCTGAAAGAAGTGGAGAAAGCAAATTGATGAGACCTGCCCAGGGGAGTGGACAAATGAATTTGGTACTGTTGAGCTGTCAGATCTGGTCTTCCATTTGGGCCATCTGCCAAGGAATTCATGGACTCACTTCTGCTCTGCCCTGGGTATAGGGATCTTTGGTTCTGAAACCACATCTACATGAAGAAAAGAGAGAAGATACAGGACAAGTGATTGCGGCTCTGTTTTTCATACTGTGTAAATTGGAAAGGAGCTATTAATATAGGCCCCAATATCAGAAATATAAGTATTCTGTATGTGTGAAATTCATTACTCTGGTTCATGTGTTCAGTATGTATGTGTGTGTATATATATATGTGTGTGTTTGTGTGTGTGTGTGTGTATGTACAAATGTGTGTGTATACACATAAAAACATAAATTGAGGTCATAACACTCAGCAATCAACGATCGAGGAATTGAAACTGGCTGAAGAGGCTTATGATCTGGATCCTTTCCTCCCTTTAATTTCAACAGTGGATCAGAAACAAATTTTCTTGACAGGTTGACATTTTTCTCTTTGCTAACATGTGCATAAAAGTCCCTAAGTTATATACACATGTATAAATCTGATCAAGGATTGTTTCTGTGCTGATAAACTGATGATTGCTGCTTTGTCATGAGCATTTAACACATACTAAACCACTGTCTCCCTAACTTTAGAAGGTACCCAATGAGAGTGATTTTGTTCTCCCAGCTGGAGGACATGTGACTAAGTATATAGAGTTCTGGGGGTGTCACAAAGTGGGGGAGGGGAGGTGGGCAGGGTATCTAGTTGGTAGAGGCCAGGAGTGCTGAAAATACCTACTAGGCACAGGACAGCCTCACAATAAAGGAATTATTGGAACAAAATGGCAGTTCCAACTGTAGAAAACTTGACACAGGGTGTTCTCAAAATAGATACTTTCACATTTCCTCATGTATTTGCGGCTGGTGATTCTTAATGGGTATACCACTGACAAGAGTTCTTCATTTTGCAGGAGTGGGACTTGTAGTGCTAGATGTTTACCATCCCATACCTTTACATAGCCTTGATGATTGTGATAATCTAAGATAGGTCAGTTTTTTCAGCAACCCACGGGGGGGTAATATCACATATTTCATGTCACAGACACAGAACTTACTTGAATTCTTGGTTCCTGAATGCCTGTTTTTTTGGCCAGTTTTTTCCTGGTTGTAATATCAAGCATTCGGTTCCTCTCAAAGGCTTGAAGTAGGACTTGTGATTGAGATCTTGGGACAGATGTCCAGTCTTGTCTGGCTGCTGTTGGTAAGTATTCTAAAGGAGAACATGGGAGCAGAAGATATCTTTTAGAACAGTTTTCATGTTTAAACTGGAAACTCGAGCCTGGTAAGGTCATGCTGATTACACTTACTCTCCTTGAATCCCCGATGGTGACAGAAGAGGATGCTTGGAATCGAAGGACCAAAAGGCCCAGAACCTTGCCTGCTGAGAACCTGTCTGTCCTAGCAGCTATGGGGCTGTGCTTATCTTTCTGACACTAGGGTGGCCAGAACAAGCTATAAGTGCCTCTCAAGATAATGATTTATTTATTTTTTTGAGAACATGGGCACGACATGCCGAGTTGTTTCCATTTTCACTGGGACCCGCTGAAGAAATGCATTTGAGCCAGTGGTTTTTTTTTCACCTTGAGTCCAAGACTGATGATGGTGTTGTCCTTGGGTTTTGTCTTTTCCTAAGGAGCATCCCAATTCCAATTGTCTCTGTTTCTATCTGTGGTTTTTAAACCAGACCTAAGTGGGAGAAGATGTGAAAGCCATGTAATTCAATCTGTGTTGGTCCAAATATCAGTATAATTAAAATTGATTTGATCAACTACCATTGTGATAATATCCATAAGAAAAAGTGATGTATTATCCTAGGAGTTACATTACTATTAGCTTACCATTCAGGACAGCATTTCTTTTATCACATCATGGTATCTCAGGAAAAATTCCGACTTAAGAGACACTGTCAGTTCTATTGCAGGAGATCAATATTTCTTTTTCTCCCTTTCCAAACTCTCTCATAACAGGTCTTCAATCTGTGAATGTCTTCTTGGCTTACCATCTGTTTATAAGAAACACCATTTTATAATGTGTAATACATATAGAATTGATTGTGGAAAAGAGTTTCCTTTTTTTTTTTTTTAAGTATGTATGAGTGTGGGGCACCTGGGTGGTTCAGTGGGTTAAAGCCTCTGCCTTCAGCTCAGGTCATGATCCCGGGGTCCTGGGATTGAGCCTCACATCAGGTTGGCTGCTTAGCTGCTTCCCCCCCCACCCCCGCCTGCCTCTCTGCCTACTTGCGATCTCTGTCTGTCAAATAAATAATAAAATAAAAAAAATCTTAAAAAAGTATGTGTGAGCAGGGTGGGGAGAGGCAGAGGGAGAGAGAGAACATTTTTTTTTTTTTTTTTTAGATTTATTTATTTATTTTAGAGTGTGTGAACCAGGGGGAGGGCACTGGAAGAGGGTGAGAAGCAGTCTTCCTGATGAGTGTGGAGGCCTACCCAGGGCTCAGTCTCACAACCCTGAGATCATGACCTGAGCTGAAATCAAGAGTTGGACACCACCGACTGAACCACCCAAGTGCCCCAAGAATATCTTTAAATGGAGAGTAAATTAGCAAAGTTGAGCTGTACTAACACTCCTCAATATTCCCTCTTACCTATAATCAGCAACAGATAAGGAGACTCCTGGGAACTTGTATACCTTGCTGTGCAACTTGTCACATATAAAACCTATGGAACTCCTTGTTTCCTCATTTCTGGAGTAGGGTTTGCAATGTACTTTCTAATTACTTGTTTTATTTTGATAATTTGTGATAAGATTTAGTGTTAATGACCACCAATATTTAATAAACCACTCCTTTATCTAGGCATTGTGCTAAAAGGTTATCTGTGCTCTAAATTAAAATGTTTCCAGGTAAGTCTTAAGCACATCACCAGATAGTCCCATGGGATCCACTTTTATTACTGGGATTTGAGTAAACGGTCTCTTTACACCTAGAACAAATGCATGAAAAGTAAAATATTTCTCTCCAGCATCCTTCAGACAAAGGACCTTAGAGCCAATGGCTAATTGGAGGCTCTCTATATATAGACACAAAAATCTGAACTGATTATTTTCCTGTAAGAGCACATTTTTACTGATCTTCATTGTTTTAAATGCTGTCTCACCAGGTATAATTATGTTGTCTACAATTATCGCCTTGCTAACTGAAGAAATCCAACTTAGTTTCATTTTCATATCAGTAGCTCTATTCAAATAATACAGTATGGGATTTTATTTCGTATACTCCTTTTTTTTTTTAAGATTTTTTTTTTATTTGACAGATAGAGATCACAGGTAGGCAGAGAGGCAGGCAGAGAGAGAGCGGGGCGGCGGGAAGCAGAGCAGAGAGCTCGATTAGAAATCTCTATTTCAGAGCCTGAAATAGAAACCTATGCTTACCTATGCCGCTGAGCAGAGAGCCTGATTCGGGGCTTGATCCCAAGACCCTGGGATCATGACCCGAGCTGAAGGCAGAGGCTTTAACCCACTGAACCACCCAGGCGCCCCTATGTTGTATACTTCTGTGTATGAATCACACTTTGGGTATTTAAAAAAAAAAAAAACTAGCCTGAAAATTGGGAATGTATGTGAGTTCTTGCCCCATGGTTTCCTTATAACTACATGTTAATCCTCATCCTGCAGTATTTATCAATTAAAAAAAATTTTTATTTTTAAGTAATCTCTATACCCAATGTGAGACTCGAATTCACAGCTCCATGATCAAGCATTGCTTGCTCTACCAACTGAGCCAGCAAGGTGCCCCGGTACATTTCAATACTTAATGATACCTTATCATTAACATAGTGTTATAATTTCCTAAATTATGTAAATCTTAAAAACTTACCTCCTATTGGGAGAGCCTGAACCAGTCTGTGTATTCTCCTGCCATCAGTGAACATACCCAGCCAAAACTTCCACAACTGGTAAAAGATATAAACGCAGTTCTTGTTTTTAATATACAACAAAAAGCCCCTGAGCAACATACTGGACTTAAGAATGACCTGGAAGTCCCGAGCCCAGTCTTTCTCTTTACCTTTAATCTGACAGATAGTGAAATAGAAACTTATGCTTACCTGAATTTTGGAATCCGAAATACCAATTTCTTTGGCCCATTGTTTCCTGGTAGCTCTGTCAGGGTAAGGGTTTTGTTTAAACCATTCTTGGAGGATATCCTTTTGACTCTGGTTGTAAACAATCCTGCCTTGCCAGGTTTCTTTTTGTAGTATGCCCGATGAAGAGAAAATGAGAAGAGGGGTATGGAGGATATGTTCATGGATTAAAAACTCTGTGTAAACCTAAGTCTTCACTTTTTTTTTTTTTCCAGGTTGAAAGCCTATAGGTTCAACAATGATTCTCTATTTTTACTTTGGGGGTACAGCTAAAGTCATGCTGAATTGGAGACATGTATGTTAAGTATGTACATATAATAGAAAAAAAATGACAATCTGTGATATGAGTTACTGAAAATACGAAAAATTACTCAGAGAAAATAGGAAGCAATAGGAGCTGGGAAACTTAATGGAAATAAACAAGTAAAACCTTAAGAAATTGAGATAAATTACACAGTAGCTGGTACTTTGTGGTAAAATATATTTTAATATGAAACATTAGGTTTTCCATGTGTATTTTCTCCATTTACAGTGTCAACTTCAGAACTTTTGACAATCCACTTGTGGGACTTATGGCTCTTATTTTAAATTTGAAATTCCAGTCTCCAACTTGAAAGCACTTTTCAGTCCCCCGACACAGCTTACAGATGCAAACAGCTCTTGCTCCAACAATATGCTTCTCTAATTATGATTGTGTTTTTAACTTTTATAAACTCTTGAAAATAAAGCATGTGGCATTATCCAAGAGCAAATTGCAGATGAAAACTTACCGCTTTTAGTGCTGTTCAAATCCATCTTGGGAAGAGCTGCCTGGATCTCACAGAAGTGAGTGGGCAACTGAGCAGGACTCAAAAACACACCTTATCAACACCCAGGGTGACCCATCCATTTTTTAAATGCCCTTCTATTTAATCCCTTCATTAAATGTTTAGCACTTTTAGAAAGAAACTTGAAGTAATCAGATTAAGAAGTACAGATTCCACCAGGCAATTTTACATCTCTTCTAATGTCTTTCCAAATATGACTTAGAATCTGTGCTCTCTAGTTTACACACACATACACACATTTCTAAGTGTTTTGTTTTCCACAATGTTTTAGTACTCTATAATTATTTTGGCTTGATGATGATATGATATTGTACGGATATACATATGTCACTTGATACTTTTCCTGAGTTCTTACTGAAGCACTTTTAAAAAATTCTGTTTAGTTAGCCACTGTATAGTAAGTATATCATTCATTAGTTTTTGATATGTGTTCAATGATTCATTAGTGAAACACTTTTTAAAAAAGGTATTATTTATTTATTTGAGAGAGCGTGAGCGGAGGGGGAGTGGGAAGCAGACAGAGACTCAGGCTCCGGCTCCCCGCTGAGCAAGGAACCGCACACTAGGCTCCATCCCAGGGGCCCGGGATCATGACCTGAGTGGAAGGCAGATGCTTAACTGATTGAGCCACCCAGGCGCCCCAAAACACATTTCTTTCCCTCATTGATAGGAAGGTGTACATGCCATCTTCACCAGTCTGAACTCCATAGTTATTTAAAAAAAAAAAAATCTAGGTTTCAAGGTATTTTGTCGATTGAATTATACAATCAGTTGGGTTTAAGTAAAGGAGATTATCCTTGATAATCCAGGTGGGGCTGATAGAATCGTGGAAAGGTCTTTTTTTTTTTTTTTTTTAAGATTTTATTTATTTATTTGACAGATCACAAGTAGGCAGAGAGGCAGGCAGAGAGAGAGAGGGGAAGGAAAGCAGGCTCCCCACCGAGCAGAGAGCCTGATGTGGGACCTGATCCCAGGACCCTGAGATCATGACCTGAGCCGAAGGCAGAGGCTTAACCCACTGAGCCACCCAGACACCCAGAATCATGGAAAAGTCTTAAGAGCAAAGCTAGGCATTCCTGGTGGGAAAGAAAGGTGCAGCTGTGGAGAGTAGCTTCATTCACATGAGAGTTTCAGCCTTCTGCAGGGTCTGCCCCAGAAATCTCATTCTTGCCTATCCAGGTGTTACAATTGTATAAGCCCATAATAACAAAAGTCTATATATGTTTATATACATGAGCACACATGTGTATGTATAATTTCACTAGTTTCCTATGAGTTCCGAATGCTACTGATCCTGTTTCTCTGGCTGAGACTAAATGATACAGGTGTTAGCACTAGAGGTAGTTCTATAAGAACAGACTTATAGATAAATATTTGTATATATTACATATAATTTAAATATATATAAATATAAATAAGTACTTGCGTCACCTGGCCAGAATCAAAGCCATGTGAGGTCGTTGCTGAGGTCAAAGGAAATACTGTTAATATTAAACTTTTAATACCAGCTACTACCTTGTGACCATTTGCAGAATTGAGGATATACTAGTTTTGAGAGTTTTGCTATGAATCTGTATATGTGGTAAAATATTTTGTTTTCTTCCCACAGTTATCCCCAATAATCCATTAATAATAGTTAACTTTATTATTATTTCAAGTAGGCTCCATGCTCAACTTGGGGGTCTGAAATCATGACCCTGAGATCAAGAGTCACATGCTCCACCGGCTGAGCCAGTAGGCATCCCAGTAATAGTTCACTTTAAAGATTTTTCATTTTATTTTTTTATTTTAGAGAGAAATAGCACGAGCAGGTGGAGGGACAGAGGGAGAAGGAGAATGCCAAGCAGACTCCACACTGAGCACAGAGCCCCACATGGGGCTTGAGCCCAGGATCCTGAGATCATGACCTGAGCAGAAGTCAAGAGTCAGATGCTTAAAGACTGAGCCACCCAAGCACCCCAATAGTTCACTTTAAATCACCGTATTTAAGGTGTATGAAAAGAGAATGATGCACATCACTGAAGGAGGTTGTGTCTTCTTCCTGGGAAGGGCTTCTTAGTGTGTTTCTACTATAGGCAGGATAGTTGTACTATATTAAGCAGAAATAATCACTTTTTTTTTATTTGGAAGTCATATATGGTTTCAGGAGAGGTGTATGGCTTATACAGCTCAACAACGTGTAGACAGAAATGATTAGTTTTATGTGTCAGTAAGGCTAATCTATAGAACTTATTCTCTCATCTAGTTGTTTCTGTGAAGGTATTTTGTAAAAGTGAGTAAAGTCCACAATCATTTAACTTTAAGGGAGATTATCCTATGTAATCTGGCTGGGCCTAAGTCAATCAACTGAAAGGCCAGTGGAGACTTCCCTGTGAAGACATTGTTCCTGATAATTGATGTTCAGCTCATGCTCAAGAGTTCAGCCCATACAAGGAATTTTGGAATTGCCCAGTGAGTCTCTAAAGTCCCATAGGCTAATTCCTTGCAATTAATCATTATATATACTGATTCTGTTTCTCTAGTTGGATGGCTGAACTCTGCCTTATTTGGAAATGATGACATTTAACAGGGAAAAAGTGTATATGTGGATTTGTCACAGAGACAAACCATGGGTGGTGGAAAACTTTGTTGAATCCTAGAAAAATGCCTACTCGTGTTACACCACTATACATTTTTTTTGGTAAAGCTATGTTAGCTGCGAAAACCTGGAAGGCAGAAAATAGGTGAAACCCACTTGTGCCTTGAATTATGGATAACATAATTTTTTGTCATTATTTATTTATTAAAAAAAAAGATTCTATTTATTTGACAGAGAGAGAGAGAGAGACAATAAGAGAGGGAGGAATACAAGCAGGGGGAGTGGGAGGAGAAACAGACTCCCCGCCGAGCAGGGAGCCCGAGGTGGGCTCCATCCCAGGATCCTGGGATCATGACCTAGCCAAAGGCAGACGCTTAGCCATCTGAACCACCCAGGCGCTCCATTTTCTGTCATTATTTACATGCTCTTGGCCACTGTTGCCTGGGACCATCTAGAAAGAAATGAGCTCAGAAAGGAATGTGTTAATAAAGGCATAATCTATTACTATATAAAAAAAGAAAGGAATGTGTTGTTCAACAGGAAGAAGGGTAGGAGAATTCATGAACTTCAGGGTAAGGGGTACAGGTAGACTTTATACTCATTTAAATGAAGACATAAAAAGTTGGAGACCTACTTTTTAAGAAAAATTTTATACATAGTTAAGAAATGCAAAAATCAAAGCTGGGTTGTGATTTAAAACCTTTGGTCTATGGCAAGGATTGCATCAAAACCTCGACCAGTAAGTCATTTCTCTATTATTTAAGCATTCCTGTAAATTACCACGGGGGGAAAATGAAGTGTGCTTTTGCCACAGACAACTGATAAGCTCGAGATATTTTAGTTAAGATGAGAGAGAAATTAGGTGTAATGAGTTAGGGGGTGAGTTAACTGCACCCGGAAGTAAATGGAATCAGGGTAATTGGTTCGTACTTCTGTTTTCCTTTTTCTTTTCTTTTCTTTTTTTTTTTTTTAATACTGCAGTCTCTAGGTTCCCCACTAATGAGGCCAAGCAAGATAAGGGACGATCAAGGATCTGGTCTGGGTACTTTAGCCAGGAAGCAGAAATCGATCTAAAAAAGGGGGGAAGCATGCTCCCTTAAAGGTCTACGCCTAAACATCTCCCCAGCTGAACCTTGCTACTGCTCTGTTCCAACGGATGCCATCTCCCCCCTCTTCTCCACAGATGAGAGGATGCTCACTACATGGGTCCAGTCCCTATTTCAACTGCCTCATAGCCTGGGATTTTGCTCTTGAGATCTTGATAAAGGAACTATAGTGGGATCTTCTTGTTGCTTTTGGTGTGAATGGAGGTTTCATATTGTGTCTGGTGGAGAAGGGTAAGATTATTTGGTGTACTTTAGAGATGGAAGCTAATAACTTTGACCAAACATATGAACCATGGTGTATTTAATAGAGTCCACTTATTTCATGCCCAGCCTCATGTCACTAGCCCCGTTAGGCCTTGTCTTCCAGGGGGACTGGACATCACGAATTATTGATTTCAGGCTTTGCCCTGTGATTTCTTTCAGCCAGTGAGATAGGAATGGGTTTAAGGAAGCAGTCTGTACCATCTTTGAGCAGAATCCTCCATTTTGGGGGGCCATTGCTCTTTTCTCACTGCCACGACTCTTCTCTGTCCTACATAATGATGATCCCATTAAGCTGAATCCCAGAAAGATGAGAAATAGACTTTTGTTGAGGTAAGTCACTCGTGTTTGGAGGTCACTTATTGCCATGACAGAATTGAGGCTAAGGTGGATATACAAATTTGTTTTTTGTATCTTAATCTCTTAGATCAGAGTTAAGGCTTTAAACAATTATCTGAATATTCCAAGAAACAAGTTTTTATAATTTTTATAGCCCCTTCTCTTTTAACTGCAGTAAATTTCCATGAAATTTAGAAGGGCATGAAATTCATTCTCTAAACAGAAAGTTCCAAGAGACGTACCCTATCTCAGGTGTGAAACCTAAGGGGGCACTAGCAGGATGGGATCCATTTGGTTGAAGATCATGGGAAGTTATTTGCTCAGCTGGTCATGTGACCTGCAGAAAATGAGGGAATCTCCCTGGATCTGACACTCAGAATGTTGCGTACATGTGCAAGAAAGGAGGGAATCCATATGTGTCCTTCATCCTGGAAAAGATGTTTACTTGTTCTTTAAGAAGAAAGGACACAAAGAATTAAAGACATCACTGGATTTCGTTATCCGGTTACCCTGATCAGTTTATTAAAAACTGGAGACAGATTCACAGTCTCAGGGCCAATAGAAGGGGGATTTTGGTTCAGAAAGTAACTGAGATGACATAGTGTTGGGCCTCGTCAGAGGGGGTGAGGAGCTCTCTCCCTGGTGGCAGATGGGACAGAGTGATGTCAGGACGTAGACAGTGGG